CCAGGAGGACGAAGGCCATGGTGCCGAGCCAAGCATCAGGGAGAAGCTCACTCGTGAAGCTCGTCCAGGTCTGGTCCATCAGGCCTGGCCGCCTCACTACTAACCGGTACCTGAGGCAAGATAAACTCGTTAGAGGGACACACACATACTTTGGTCCGTGTCAATACGAGCGTTCATACTGCCAGGCGCATCTCTCTCTCTCTCTCTCTCTCTCTCTCTCCGGGAGTGCTCAACACACATGCTATACACCGAAAAAGATCACCATAGTAATCACAGTGAGGCAAAAGGTTTCAGCACTCACGTATTAACACCCCACAAGGTTCATCCCCGTACTTACTGGGGACAAACTGACAGCTAAGACTCACCCCACTTCTCTCAGCCCCGTGACGAAGTGTACAGCTTTGGCCCTGGCGCCTGTATGGTCGAGGGAGGACACCACCGCGTCGGCCCTTTGTTCCACCATCTCCTGCACTAAGCCGTTCCATTTACCGTCACTCAGAGCTCCCCATTTACCATCCTCTGGCACACGACATGAGTACCTGTGGAAGGAATGGCTATATAAATCCTATAGAAACAATGTACATGATTAAAGCTATGAATTTAACATTATATAGTTTAAATATTTCAAGATTTAGTGAAAAATATTTTTAGTTGATATTATACATATATATATATATATATATATATATATATATATATATATATATATATATATATATATATATATATATATATATATATATATATATATACAAGTAAATCACTGTAGGTGCAAGTGTTTTTAAATAGCACACAACGGTTGGTGGTCAGGTCAGATGGTCAGGTGAGAAGGCCGGGTCACTTGACCATCTGACCTGACCACCAACCGTTGTGTGCTATTTAAAGATTAGTAGGGTCATTACCTAATACCTGACCATTGTGGACCTGGTCTCACCCTCCTCTGTATATATACACCTTGATTTGTATTACTCTCTCTAGTCTGTACTCACCCCTGAAGATGTGAATTACACGAAAGCGCTTGGGAACTTCGTGTTTTCTTCTTTCCTTGTGGTTATCAGCATATATATATATATATATATATTGTTCATTAGCCCAATAAAGCACGCGGACTTCTACATACAATCAACACCTCAACCCGCCAGGATTCGAACCCACGGCCCACAAGCCTATGACTGTGACCGGAGAACGCTAACCGCTGGACCACCAGTATCCTGGTGGTCCAGCGGTTAGCTCATATGAGCAGTAGGGGTTGGGTGTAAACGGGACTGCCCAGTATGGGCCAATAGGCCCGCTGCATTTTCCTCCATTCTTATGTTCTTATGTTAAGTAATTGCCGGGAGGGAGGGAGGGAACGGGATAGCGTGTGCACTAGCTAGTATTGAGTCACGGATAGCCTTCATGCCCCCCTTCCCATCCCCTTTCCTCACCGCCACCCTCCTCCCACCACCCACTCCACCACCAGGCACGGCAACTGCAATCGATTCATTTTTTTTTCAATTTCAATTGTTTATTCCTTGATAGAGGAAGCAGGATCCTAGTGCTGTCACTAGGTACCCCTGTACAATGACACCAGAAGCATCTGGCAAGTGTGACAAGTATATACAGTATAAATATTATAAAGGGGCTTACTAAAGCCTAAGGAAGGAAGGATATTCCTTAAACACATAATCAATGTTATTTACATAATATCTGGCCAGTATAGGGAGGATCATCGTGTCTCCGTCATAGGGTCGTGGAGTGGTGGTCCAGCAGGCGTCACGGAAGCGTTGTGTGGGGACATCTTAGGAGGTAGTGGATAAGGGTGCGGCTGTCGGGTCTTCTGCATAATGCACAAGAGCGTTGCTCAGGGGATGTGGGGATACCAATCTCCCAAGCAAAGTCATACCCAATGATGATACGGGCAGCAATCACGTCCCTTTTCCGTGCTATCGATTGACTAATGGTCAGTTCCATATTTAGTTGACTCTTGTTATGTAAGCTAATTTCATCTATAGATTATCCCCCCCCTAACTTAACCCAACCGAGCTAAATCTAACCTAACTTAACCTAACCTAACCTAACCTAACCCTCACCAGGTGAATTAAACTAAAGGGAAGGTGGCCTAATCTTCACGCGATCCAATCAAGACCCAAACATCGACAAAAATAATCCTCGTAACTATCAAAGAAAACGTAAGAACGCTTGATGTGTTTTAGGGGAGACTTACGTAAAGCCATGAATCTCTTGAAGGGCGTCCCACACATCCTTGGTATAACCTCCTGTGATTTGTACGTTCATCTGGGAGTCTGGCTCACTAAGGTAGGTAAAGGGCTGTTGCTGTAGGGAGGAAATTATGTAGATTTAGTTACCTGTTTACCTCTGTAGCAATACGATCTTTATATTGTGTACAGTGAACCAGTGGAACGGGATAGAAGGGCGTATGTACAGTGGACCATAGATATTTCACATCAAACGGAACTCTCTATATAACAGATTATCCCCTATATATAGTCCGTTAAATAGAACTTTCACTACATATACAACCTGACTCAAAACAACAACAACATTTCCCAAAATCCAAAAGTAAATATACTAAGAGTTAATTAGCATACAGGTAAGGTAACGCATCTCAGGTGAAGTCCAGTGAGGTTAGATCGTCTGTCACTCCAGTCCTTTTGAGACAGCCTGACGGGTCCACCAGCTCGCCACGACCCAAACTGTCGGATGGTGTATGGTAGGTCATCACTCACGCTGTACACCTCCACCAGGTCCACCTTGGTCAAGTTGGTGGTGTTAACGGTAGCGAAAGTCACCTGTGGTTGTGGTGTAGGTTAGATTAGTGTTTCTCATACATACATACATACATACATACATACACACACCCCATTACATACACACAATGCACATAGACAAAACACATTCATAAAAGTCAGAATAAATCATTGACAATATTTACAAAAGCAAAAACAAACAAAGGCAATAAATTGGTTGGACCTTACGAGGGGTGATATATATTACCTGTAATTAGTCACCTGTGTAGGCTAATATACAGAGTTCAGGTATACAGTGTAGGTGACGCAAACAAATGGGGAAGAATTGTCACCATTATCAGAATCAATACTCGTCACTTTTTATAGATTTTAAATTGGGGTTTATTGACCATGTTGTTTACTTCACACACACACACACTCACACACACACACACACACACACACTCACACACACACACTCACACACACTCACACACACACACACACACACACATAAATCACATATCTTATAAATACAATATTTCTTAATCACACAAAACATATACGCTCTCTCTCTCTCTCTCTCTCTCTCTCTCTCTCTCTCTCTCTCTCTCTCTCTCTCTCTCATGACAGGTGAGAAAGACCTACAGGTAGATTTCCCTTATAGTCGAAGGTAAAGCCAATTAGGAAGATCTTATATATACAATAGGTTCTTACTTACGCTAATACAGTATTGATGTTTGAGTTATATGCCCATGATGCCAGGCTCTTCTGCAGGAGCCCCTTATGTAACCCCACCTCTCCCGCAACATCCAGCCCCACTGATCTGCCCTCTCATGGCCCTTTTCACCCACACCGCCCTACCCACTCATCCACCACTACCAATACTGATCAAATATTCTTTTCATTCTAAGAGTCACGTCAGATTGGCCCTTCCTTCATCTCCTCCTTCCTTCCTCCTCCTCCTCCCTCTCTTCCTTCCTCTCTTCCTTCCTCTCCTCCTTCCTTCCTCCCTTCCTTCCTTCCTCCCTTCCTCTCCTCCCTCCTTCCTTCCTTCCTTCCTTCCTTCCTTCCTCTCCTCCCTTCCTTCCTCTCTTCCTTCCTCTCTTCCTTCCTCTCCTCCCTCCCTCCTTCCTTCCTTCCTTCCTTCCTTCCTCCTCCTCTCCTTCCTTCTCTCTTTTCCCTCTCCTCCTTCCTTCCTCTCTTCCTTCCTCTCCTCCCTTCCTTCCTCCCTTCCTCCCCCTCTCTTCCTTCCTCCTTCCTCCTTCCTCTTCTCCTTCCTTCTCTCTTCCTTCTCTCCTTCCTTCCTTCCTCTTCTCCCTTCCTTCCTCCCTTCCTTCCTCCTTCCTTCCTTCCTCCTTCCTTCCTTCTCCCCCTTCCTCCTTCCTTCCTTCTCTTCTCCTTCCTTCCTCTTCCTTCTCTCTCCCTTCCTTCCTCTTCCTTCCTCTCCTCCCTTCCTTCCCTTCCTTCCTCTTCCTTCTCTCCTTCCTCTTCCTCTTCTCCTTCCTTCCTCTCTCCCTTCCTTCCTCCTCTCTTCCTTCCTCTCCTTCCTTCCTTCCTCTTCTCCCTTCCTTCCTCCCTTCCTTCCTCTCCTTCCTTCCCTTTTCCTCTTCTCCCTTCCTTCTCCTTCTCTCCTTCCTCCCTTCCCTCTTCTCCTTCCTTCCTCCCTTCCTCCTTCCTCCCTTCCTCTCCTCCTTCCTTCCTCTCTTCCTTCCTCTCCTTCCTTCTCCTCCTTCCTCTCTTCCTTCCTCTCCTTCCTTCTTCCTCTTCCTTCCTTGCTCCCTTCTTCCTCCTCCTTCCTTCCTCCTTCTCCTCCCTTCCTTCCCTCCTTCCTCTCCTCCTTCCTTCCTCTCTTCCTTCCTCTCCTCTTTACTTCCTCCTCCTCTCCCTCTACCCACCCTGTTCTCTACCTTCCTGCCATCACACTCTCCTTCCCTCCCTCCCTTCTCCCTCCTATCACCCTCCCTTACAAGCGTCACCTATTGTCAGTGCCATCACTACCCCCCATTGTTAGTTGGGTTAGGTTGGTTTGGTTGACTCACGTCGTATGTTGTCTCATTATTTACTCCCATGCCCCCCCTGCCTCCCCACCATGGTTCCAGGATTAGACCGATTCCATGATATCGCGAAAAAATGAGCGTGTTGATGTGTGTGTGTGTTTTATGTAAATATATTCACACCTAGATGGCCCTTGGGCTGGCAACCATTATATATAAAAGAAAATAACATTCCTAAGTGTGTTTATCTGTTTGGTTATCTCAGTGTTGGTTTGTCATTGTATATATGGAGTACTAGATGGAGTGGTTGAGTACGTATGATTACAAATAATATATGTCTGGAGGATTGATAAGTAGTGATAATCATACAGGTATACACTCATCAATACTCGTATGATTAACAGGTAGGTATAATTATTTACACCTTTATAAAAATGAGAAGCAATTTAGGTTAATGTTAATTCTTATCACATTATCACATTATAACATCCATCACCACTAAACCAGATTAAAGTTATAAAGAACATTATCCACAGCAGGTTCTTCACACAGGCATCGATACTAACAATAATCTGTACTGTTGTTGAGGACTTCAGTAAAAAAAATAAATAAATAAATAAAATAAATTGAGATATCGCCCCTGAAGTACCTCACGAACGATGTGATATATGTTAGTGATGAAAGATGTATTTAGTGGTGAGACACACACACACACACACACACATCCTTGACCACAGAAGGGTCAAGACGTACCTGGCGCTGCTCTCGGAGCAGCCAGGTCAACTGTTAAGTTGGCCCATACCAACTCCCTCCCCTGAACCCTCCTCCCCACCGGAATATCAACAAGTTCTCGCCAGAAGTTACAATTTCATTTAGGAAAGGAATGGAACCAGTGTTAAACAGAGGTGAACAGTGGTGAACAGTGCTTAAGTCAGTGAGAACAACTCAACAGTAACAGTCGTACCCAAGTTAACCTTCACACAGTGAGGTCCCAGGTACCCAGTGATAACGGCCCGTGAGACCCAACAACAACCAGCGATGTGTTAATCCTGTCTACGATAGGAAGGCCTGGGACCATCACTTGACATAACACCACCAAACCCTCATAACACAGGGAATTACTACACCACGTGTCCCCCACACACCATCTGTGAGGGAATTACTACAGGTCCCTCATAACCATCTGTGAGGAATTACTACACCACGTCATCAACACCATCTGTGAGGGAATTACTACACCACGTCAGGTCCCTCATAACACCATCTGTGAGGAATTACTACACCACGTGGTCCCTCATAACACCATCTGTGAGGGAATTACTACACCACGTCAGGTCCCTCATAACACCATCTGTGAGGGAATTACTACACCACGTGGTCCCTCATAACACCATCTGTGAGGGAATTACTACACCACGTGATAACACCATCTGGGAGGGATTACTACACTACGTGTTTGCTGTTCAACACCTACATTAATCTGTATGTTCACCATATGTTCCTTTACCTTTCTCTAATGAAGGCTTTTGTTAAACCACCAATGTATGTAATAAGTCATTTATGTCCAATGTATATTTTCAGCCTTCGGGCTGCAGAACTTTTTCATTAAACCGTCAATTATTATTATTACAATGACCGTGTGTGGTTGCCCAGATGGCGGGCCTCCATACTGTATAGATAGGCCAACCCTTTTCCCTTCCCCTTCCCCTCCCCTTCCCCTCCTCTCCCTAATTATTTTTTTAGTAGTCTATCATAAATTTACATAACACCACCAAATTTCATCTATATTCAAAACTATATCTATTTGAAACAACTCTAGACAGACAGACGCCGTACTTTATATATTAGCTATATAACTTATGCTCAGAGTAATAACAGTAGAGACACTCATAGCTAATAGAGGGCGTTGCTGTACCTAGGGATTAATGACATGAATATTCCAATAAGCATTAGTGAAGGCTCGTAAATTACCTTCAGTTCAAGACCCATTATTGTTATAGTCCGCACCGATGAGAATCAATAGTGTAGCTGGTATTGCTTTTAACTCGTGTGTGTGTCTAATGTATGAATGTGTAATGTATGTGCGTGTATAATGTATGTTTGTCTGTAATGTGTGTATGTATAATGTATGAGTATATAATGTGTGTATATATATAATCGAAACTTATTACCAACTGCATACTCTTATAAACAAAAACAAAAAATAAAAATAAAATATTTATAAAAAAATTTCTCACGTTATTAAAAATTATCAATAACAATTAATCACTACAGGTAGGGTCATTAATTAACCTCAGTAAATCACAGGTAATAACACACCTTAATTAATGATATAATGATAAGTGATTATGTTACTTTTCACCTTTGGGAACTTTTTAAATCACTTGTCCCTCCCTCCCTCTCCTTCTCACCCACCTGCCCCTCCCCTCACCCACCTGCCCCTCCCCCTCACCCACCTGCCCCTCCCCCTCACCCACCTGCCCCTCCCTCAAAATGCTTAATCATGTTCTTGAGGGCAAAAACGACATAACCCACATAGGTCAGTGATTATTATTGGTGATATAGTTTGGTGATACGTATGGTGTAAGGTGTTAGTGTAGTAAAGAGTATAAGGTATTAGTAGGAGAGTATAAGGTGTTAGTGTAGTTTAGAGTATAAGGTATAAGTGTAACCTTATATAGATGACTTACTAAGTTATCGAGGGGTAGTCGAGGCTTGTGGTCACCGTCTGTCACCAGGCGAGTGTCCCCCATCACCAACCACAAGTGTCGCCTCACCAAGGACGCCAGTGTCACCTAGTACACGGACGACACATCAAGTACTGTACGTGAGAGCTTTTAAGATGTACAGTGCATTGACTCACAGTGAAGGTAGAACAAATGACTCAGTGTAGTAGGTGTAACAAGTGACTCATAACAACTGACTCATAGTGAAGGTATAACAAATGACTCAGTGTAGTAGGTGTAACAAGTGACTCATAACAAGTGACTCACAGTGAAGGTATACGAAGAGTGACTCAGAGTGACTCACCTCGACAAACAGACTCAGGTCCTCGGGGGTGTTGAGGAAGGCCACGTTGAGGGTGTTTGAGTTGAGTGCCTCCAGGGTCGTCTTCACCTCCTTACTGCTCCTTACCTGCTGCAGGGCCACGCTCAGAGGTGACTGCAACCATAGTGCCCGCAACATACCCACGGGCACCACCTCACCTTGCCCTGGAGGGTGTCAGTGTTGTGTAAGTCACTATATTATGCTGGATACTGGGAGGGGAGGAGGGAGGGAGGGAGGGAGGGGAGAGGGTCGGGAGGGGAAGGGGAAGAGGGTGAGGGAGAGGTTCAGGAGGAGAAGGGGGAAGAGGAGAGAGAGAGAGAGAGTCCTGATAATCTACTTTCACAATTAATGAAATGAATCAGTGAGTCACGAAGCTTCGAACAACACTAAGACACAACATGAGCTTGAATTAATAATAAGGACATAGGAGACTCATAAAGAGATATTCAATGAACGAGTCCTCACTCACTCACTCATGCACTCACTCACTCACTCACTCACTCAGGTATTGATCAAGACAATAACACCGCTACGAATGTGAATCCGACTGAGACAAATGCTCTAAGGACGTTGACGGTGGTTTAATGACTAATACATAGTGCTGACACTCAACTCAAGGCCAGAACCAAGAGACACACGCGAGATATCAATAAAACATTCAGCGAGACTTTATAACCCCCGTTAACTCAACACACAAAGGTTTAAACAGGTAAATAGTCCTCACACCTGAATGACTCGCTTGACTATACACAAATAACCCAAGTTAAGTGTGTATAATTACAGTAGAGTTTCTTGGTATAGTTTAATGTGGTTTTCATGTGATTGTGCTTAAGTGTGTCTAATTACAGTAGAGTTTCAGTACAATTTAATGTTTTTATGTGATTCTGCTCGAGTGATCCATTTTAGTTCATTCTTACACCTATAATTACGAGGTCAATACGAACCTTTGTACATTAAGAGCCTGAAAATACTAATGTATTTTGAATTCGTAAATTCTATTATGTAGTGGGAATGTGTTGGGCAAGGCAGAGCACTTTGTCTTGAGTACGGGGAAGTAAACCCCTCGAGTATGATAATTTAACCCCTTGTGTACGATAATTTAACCCCTTGTGTACGATAATTTAACCCTTTGAGTACGATAATTTAACCCTTTGAGTACGATAATTTAGCCCCTTGAGTATGATAGCTTAACCCTTGAGTATGATAACTTAACCTTTGCGTACGATAACTTAACCTCTTCAGTACGATAATTAATTGCGTATAATAACCTCTTGAAACGATAACTTATGAGTAAATGAACAAGATCCAAATATATCATCTTGTTTACCGTCAACCAACACAACAGCGTAAAACAATATATGGCGTAAATGTGCGTAAAAAACATAAATAACTTGAAGGCAACATTAATACTTACTGTTAGCTGGGAGGAAGATGTTGATACCCATAACATCAATAGCACTGACGTAGGCGGTGAAGAATTCTTGACCTTCAGGAGACTGTAGGAACCCTGAACAACACCCAACTGTGGCCACGAGTGAGACCACCATCAGGCAGGTCTTCCTCCCATCCATAATACTCAACTTGCGAATTTCCTGAACGTCTGATATTTCGTTATATTTACATGGGAAGGATTATTTTTGTAGTTGATTATAAACAAGTGTTAAGGAAACTCAGTCACTCTAGCTACCTTGTTAACGAGTACAGTATTGAGACAGGTGAGAAGGATATGGTAATTACGATGGTTTACAAACATGAAGGTAAGTTGTAGATATTTACACTACTAGTAATAAATGTGTCGCTGTGTGTGTGTGTGTGTGTGTGTGTAAACAATTATAAAGCCTAATTGCCATCCCTAAGACAGTCACGGTACTCAAGGGGTCGCGTCTCAGATCTCTCCTCCATTTGATCAGCTCATTCTAATCTCTTTTAATCGCCCCCTCCTCCTCCTCCTCCTCCTCCTCCTCCTCTTCCCTCTCCTCTTCTCTCCTCCTCCTCTGGTCTCGTCACTACCAAGCCTTGCCAACCTTCCTCACCATCTTAGTGTGGGAATTTAGTTCTTGTCGACCTCAAGGTGTTCTTCGTATATCCTCATGTTAAAGACTTCAACCTCACCTTCAGTAACAAATGAATATCTTTAAAAAAATTGATGTTTCTTTTAATTGTTACTTGATCGGTGCAGTATTTCACGTATCATCATCTGTCAATAATATGTACCTATAAAGTAGTTCTGAATGGTACCCGTAGAGTTAGATAATATAAACAGTGTGACTCAACATAAAGATCATTCAAGTAAGTATTTAAGTGTTGCATGAATCCCTCACTTCAAAACTTATTACAAAACTTCGCGTGATTAAGAATTCTTTCAAAACACAACGAAAATATTCACTGGGACTCGCTTGATGTAACAGTTCTGCGGTATTGTTGTATTAAAAGTCTAACACAGTTCTAAAAATTTGCTGGTTTTAGAGAGGGCTATTTGGGCAGTACACGTTACCCGCTCTCGGAAGAACCTCGCGCCGTATTGAGCTGGCCGGGGGTCTATAGTCTGTTAGAGGCGGTAGTGTGGTGCGCCTGTGTGCAAGTCCCTCATTAAGGCAGCCAGGGCCCACTTGTTTTAATTGTCTTTGGAATTTAATTAGGATTCGTAAAAGGTTTTCTGTCACGTTTGGGTTTATAAGTACAAATTTCTACATGTTCAGAATTTTTATTAGTGGTGGTGGTGATGATAATGGTGATAGTGGTGATGATCGTGGTAGTGATGGTCAGGGTGATAGTGGTGATGATGGTGGTGGTGGTGATAGTGGTGGTGATAGTGGTGATGATAGTGGTAGTGATGGTCAGGGTGATAGTGGTGGTGATGGTGGTGGTGGTGATAGTGGTGGTGATGGTGGTGGTGCATCGCGTGTGTTATTGTCACGATTTCAGAAGTCAAAAAATCCATTCCAGTATTGTTGTTGTATATTTAACAGTAATGTTTGTGTGGCAAGTAGCCTGAGTTATGGTCAATTGTTTGTTTACATTCTTGAGATGGCTTGTGACAATCGGGTGAGCTGTTGGGTCAATCGGAAACCATACCTGGATTATTTAGATTTTGTTTTTACTCAAATACAAGAATAAGGTTAGGTTAGGTTAGGTTTTTAGTGACAATATTAGAGAAATGTTATTATTTTCACATATTCCATAATTACACTTAACTAAATACATCTGTAGATATTAATAAGGGATTAAATCATTACAGTCTACCATTTCTACAGTACTACTTTAGTTCTCACACACTACAGCACTACATACGACGATACAAATTTCAAAATCCTGTAAAAAATTCAATAAACTAACAATGGGAGGAGACGAGAAGCGACATTTCCAAAACCCAATATACTGTTCCTTCACGACACAACAGGCCAAGAGACGATGGTGTCAATAACTATACATTAAACCACTGTACTTTTTATATATTCACTGAAATGACATAACAATCTCAGTTCACTTTCATAATAAATTTTACTCTGACACTCCTGAGAGTATTGAGTTGTGTCCCTGTGTGTGTGTGTCTGTGTGTGTGTGTGTGTGTGCGTGTGCGTGTGTCTGTGTGTGTGTGTGTGTGTCTGTGCTGGGATGTGAATTTTCCATATGTTAGCTCATAAGTTTGGATTTATAACCAAACATTCTGGTGGTGGTGGTAGTGGTGGTGTTAGTGGTGGTGATAGTGGTGGTACTGGTGGTGTTAGTGGTGGTGTTAGTGGTGGTGATAGTGGTGGTACTGGTGGTGTTAGTGGTGGTGTTAGTGGTGGTGATAGTGGTGGTACTGGTGGTGTTAGTGGTGGTGTTAGTGGTACTGGTGGTGGTACTGGTGGTGTTAGTGGTGGTGATAGTGGTGGTACTGGTGGTGTTAGTGGTGGTGTTAGTGGTGGTGTTAGTGGTGGTGATAGTGGTGGTACTGGTGGTGTTAGTGGTGGTGATAGTGGTAGTGATGGTTATATTGGTGTTACTACTACTACCTCACTTAGACTTCTACGCCATATTCTCAGCTCACCTTCCCAACACTAAACTGAAGGTCAAGTGTAATTAACACCTTCTTGGCGTGTGTATGCTGGGTGGCGACGAAGGACTATTAACAACGTCAGCTAGAGAAGGTACAGAAAAGGGCCTGCAGAATCATGCTCGGCGCAGAATACTCCGGCTACACCAACGCTCTCTCCACCCTGGAAATGCCATCCCTCAGTGACCACCACCACCAAGCACTGGAAAGGTTTGGCCGTGGACTACTGCACCACCCTCGCCACCTCCTGCAGCCCCCCACCCACCTCGCGCAGTCCGCCACTACAACAAAATTCAGCCCATAAGAGCCCGCACCGATAGATATAAGAACAGTACCATCCCATCTATTGTTAAAATAATAAACAATTCCTGATTTATGTGCTGTACAGCCCTGTAAATGTATTCAATGCATATTATATCATTATGTCTAAATCAAATTTAAGTCTGTATATTTTCAGCCACCGGGTGTAACTCTATTAATAAACCGTTTATTATTATTATTATTATTTATTATTACATACATACATACATACATACATACATACATACATACATACATACATACGTACATACATACATACAACTAGATCACAAATATCGACAAGAATAAAAAATTAACCCCAATAATACATAACTTTAATACTCAGTAAAATAAATAAATAAATTATCTTTCCATCTTGATAAATTTACGATAATATTTACCCAGAAATGTTTTATGAGGAAAGGGTTTGGAAATGTGTCAGTAGACTAGAACGTTCCTGGTATATCTTTAGATGGCGTCGTCAAGGAGGGGCAATTATTATGACCCAGAACACCCTCACCCTCCTACCACCCTTCTCCCCCTTCTTCCCCCTTCTCCTTCCCCCTCCCCCCTGACTGTTTTATGCCTGTGTGTTTGTGTGTTCATTGTGACTCTGGTCGAAAAAATAATGAATCTTTCAGGGCCAACAAGTTCCTGTTTCTAGTGATTTATCATAATAGCCACACCTGAGGAGTACTAATGGTGAGAGTGGCCAGGTGAGGGCATGGCCAGGTGAGGGCATGGCCATGTGGGAGGGAAAGAGTGGCCAGGGGTTGTAAAGGGGAGACAGGTGTTGTGAGGGAGATAGACGGACAGACAGACAGACAGACATGCAGCACCTGGGAACCTTAAGTAGAGATCCCAAATGGATATAAATATTGCATAAATTCATTTGAGTTATCACGCCATCTTGGTGACGTAAAGTCTCTCGTTACTTATGAATTGATACACAGCGAGGAGGCGAGTGTAGTGCCTTGGAGTTAAGCATACTGACACACGCTATACTAACAGTGTTATTACGGAACTACTTGTGTCATAGTTGCCTGATGTTAAAACACTGATACATTATTCTGAGTGTTATGAGAAAATCACTTGTCAGGGTACAGTACTCTTATGTAAGTACACTGACGCACGCAATTCTGATACACTAATCTGACTGTGTTATGACGTATAGTGTGTCAGAATATAGTGACTTCATGGCAGCTAATATGGTGACGTGAGGAACAAAGTCGATCAACATTATGTGGGTATGGTGTTATGAAGTATATGGTCTCGTGTCAGTACAAGCCTGGCGGGTCTGGGAGAGTCACACTGGCTAACAAAACCCTTCTCAAAACTGTCCAGGGGCAAGACTCGAACCTAGGATACAACCGTGTGAGATACAGAGATATACACATGTTACCACTGTTACGAGTTGGGGATTTAGAATATAGTTAAAAGTCTACCCAGATCCCAACAGGCAACAACAATAAAAAAACAAAGACAATCGGACTATAAAAGGGTAGACGAAGGATGAGAGTTTTCGTTGTGTATAATAAAGTACCATAAATTCCTTAACAAAATATTCAGCTTTCTATAATTTACCCTTAACCATACTTAACCTAAACATTAACAGTATATACATATTTATACAACATACAACAATTGTGAAGCAAGGTGGAGGTGGGGGGAGGCAATATAAGATTACAAATACTTAAGTGCGGAGCTGAGATGGCTGACGAGTAAGGCTGAGTATTGTAGAAGACGGTAGGTAGTCACTGTGCCGTAGGTTTCCAGGATAGATGATCCTGTGGTCACTTCCCAGAGTGAACTAAACTCTCATCGATCTGGAGCTGACGAAGAAGACTTGGAGGAGGTGTCACAACAACCAGGATATGGAGAAGGGAAACCCGGGAGTGGTAACTAAGAGTAGTCATACTCGGGTTTTGTCCCTAGATGGCGTGGTTCGTAGTGCTGGGTAGGTAGATCATGACAATTGGTGGCGTGGTTCGTAGTGCTGGGTAGGTAGATCATGACAATTGGTGGCGTGGTTCGTAACACCACTATACCACCACCATCATTCATCAATATCTGATTCTCACTTAAATAATATCATCCCGATTCACTCTCAGTTTATCCCTCCTGAGCTGGTGTTATCCATGGGTGAAATTATATAGAATAGTCTATCAACACAAGCTATGTAGTCGACAACAGTACTGAGCTTCAACAACAATGGAGGGATCCTACACAGACCACTAGCCGCCTTCCCTATGTCAGGTAACCATCAGGTAAGTAATCTTCCTCACCTGCTTTTACTAATGTCAAAACAGAAAGGTAATCCAGTGCAGCCTCCCCTCCATCTCCCCATCAGACACTTAATATTCTCAAACGTTATGTCATATATATCAATAACATTTGATATTTAGCAGCGAGAGAAAGAAAGAGAGTGTATTTGGCACATATCTTCCTTTAGTACTTGATATTAAGTAATAAATCGCTATAGTTATCCATTTTTGCGTTTATAGGAGTTATCCATAGGTGTGTGTTAAAAGAAAACGTCAACACCTTCAGGGAGAACTTTACTAAACGTGCTAACGCTATATATGTTTTGAAGCCATTAAAATATCAGGGGTTGTGACACTATTATACTCAGGGGTCAGGGGTAGTTTGTTCAGGTCTAATAACACGTCCATAAATGTTTAAATATCCTCAGTGGAGTCATTCTACTCCATAATGTTTGCGAGTAGCGTTAAGGTGTGAAGGTCAGTGTGAAAAAAATACCTGCTGACAACCAATGACAGGAGTGGTGGCTGACGGTGAGTGTCAGTCCTGGCTCTAGGTCAAACTGGTCACCAATCATCTGTTCGTAATTCAGGTTTGGTTTGCCATTATCTTTCCTGCCAGTCATCAGGACCCTCCCACCCCCCCACCCCTACTCAGCGCCTGTCTCATCCAGGTCAACCGGCCAGTTGACCCACTACCTCCACTGACCAAGCCGAGTGTCTGGCATCACAAAAGCTCCATGAATTTATATCTTGATAAGTAAGAATATATAAGAATTTACCAAACTGGTTATATTAAGCAACAACACAACAATATATTCCCCAAGAATAATAAGAAATGACTCAAATTTAACCATAAACAGAGACAATCACTTACCAGACGCACTTAATGTAGACAAGAATTTATTATTGATTCATAACATTAATATTTTCTCTTAACTGATCCTGAAGTGAACGTCGGTCATCGAGGTAGAGTCTCAATGTGATTTGGGGGGTTATTTCTTAGTGATGAGAAATATTCAGCTCTCTCTCTCTCTCTCTCTCGGTTATGGAAGGAGGGGTGCGGATGTGAGAGAGAGGAGAAGGAGGGGGAGGAGGAGGAAGAGAAGAGTCGGGCGGCGCATCATCAGTAAGAGGATGACCAACAAGTTTTTGCACCTCCCTCTCCCTGCCGTCCTCCGCCCGTCCATAATTCGAGGTCGGAACAGGGCGAGAAGGTGGCTGTTAACCTCGATAAAATGAATCACATGTTAAAGTGAGCGGTGTAGCCTTGAGTCTTGACGATTAAAAATGAATTTATTTTCATTTTCTCACGAACTTAAATACATCAAGAGTACCTGACAGAGAAGACAGTTTAATATTATCTCCTGGGAGTCTAGACTAAGATTAACGACACGTGTTAAGAGTTACTGAAATGTTTAAAACAGACAAAATTTACCTAAAAGAAGATAATGTTTTATATATTTGGTCTTAGATGAACCCTGAGGACTGAGTTTCCCTTGTGTGGACTTAACCTAACCTAACCAACCCTGAGAACTGACTTTCCCATGTGAGGACCTAACCTAACCTAACCAACCCTGAGGACTGACTTTCCCATGTGAGGACCTTACCTAACCTAACCAACCCTGAGAACTGACTTTCCCATGTGAGGACCTAACCTAACGTTACTTACCCTAACTTAACCTAACCTAAACCTAACCTAACCTAAGCTAACCTCTTATCTAAACTAGTATGCGGTAAAAGGTCAAATTATGAGAGGTTTTCCCGGGCCGGTGAACCAGGACAGTGAAGGTGTAGTCGGCGGGGTGACATTTATAATTTATCATGAACTTGTTGCTGAGTTTCACCTCTTAACAGGATTCCGGTGTTTGGGTCCAGTCGTGGCGGGAACAGAGGTCAGGCAGTGCTATTGTTATTGTTTGTGGTGGAGATTAAGACTTTGTGAACGATACTTAAAACTACATATAAGACCTTTAGTGAACGATGCTTCATAAACTTGGACTAGGGTAGGGTGGGGTTGAATAGGTTAGGTTAGGGTAGGGTAGGGTAAGGTTAGGTAGGGGTAGGGTGGGGTAAGGTTAGAGTTAGGGTTAGGGTAGGGTAGGGTAAGGTAGGTTAGGTTAGTAGGTTAGGGGTAGGGTTAGGGGTTAGGGTTAGGTAGGGTTTAGGTTGGGTTGGTGGGCCTTCAGATGACAGACTCGTCAAAACAGTTTTAGCCTTGTCATTACACAGATTAAAATATCATACCTATATAAATCCTCCTCCAGCAACCATTCGTCCTCTACAGTGACCGTGTTTACCCTCGCCCAGTGAACAACACTCACCTCTAGGGGGTCGATGGTTCACTATCAGGACAACCCCCACCACCCCTCACCCCCTCCCCACCCTCAGTTCTGAATAGGTACATAACATTACTGTGATGAGAGAGAGAGAGACACAGAGAGCTAAACAAGGTAAAAAAATAATGTAGGTCTGGGTAGTGGGAACAGAGGCTGACCTAGATGATGGCGCGTTTATCTGCCCCCCTACAAGTACGAGTCAACATACCCCCCTCCTCCCTTTCTCCCTTACCCCACCCCACCCTCCATCCCCTCCTTCTCTCCCTTCCCACCCCACCCCACCCCTCCCATCCCTCCCTTCTCTCCCTTCCCACCCCACCCCTCCCTCCCCTCCCGAGGTCGTGAAGCAAGTGTGAAAGGTGCAAGATTAGTGTGATGGCGAGAAACAAGTGAATAATGGCATAAAATTGGTGAAAATCAAGTCAAAAAGTTTGTTGATAAAGTTTAAAAAAATTGAAAATCTTCTGGTCTAAAGTAATGTGTTTGTCTGTTTACCTTAACTAGATACCTGTGTTACCTGGCCAAGTCAACAAACATACCTGGCCAAGTCAACAAACATACCTGGCCAAGTCAACAAACATACCTGGCCAAGTCAACAAACATACCTGGCCAAGTCAACAAACATACCTGGCCAAGTTAACAATACCTGCCAGTGATAAGTTGATATATCCAAGTCACGGAAGAGATAAAAGTCATTAACTCCGGGTCAACAAAGTCACATTTCGACGACCACATCAAATGACGGGAGGAGAAATGATCGTCTGGCGTTCATTATCGCCTCTAACTCAGTGATCACAGTAGTTATTATAATATACCTTTATATAGTGCCCTCACAATAATCATGGACAATATCCCTAGGTACCTTTTGGTGTATGAATGTATGTATGTATGTATGTATGTATGTATGTATGTATGTATGTATGGTGAGCAGCGAGTGACCACATGGTGTTAATATATAGTAAAGGTTGTGGGAGTTGTGGGTTGTAACGACACTAACAACACTAATCTCTATAACCTTGGTTGTTGAAACTTCCCGTAAAGAACAAAAAAAAATACAATAACACGGTTGTAAATTAGTTATGACTAGTTAGGCTTAGTGTGACCAGCCCCAGAGGCGAGAGGTGGGCGTAGGAAGAGGAGGAGGAGAGGGAGGAGGGGGGGGGGGGAGGATGGGTGGGAGGAGTTGGGGGGAGAGGGATGGAAGGGTGGAGGAGTGGGGGGAGAGGGTGGAAGGTGGAGGAGGGTGGAGGAGGGGGATGAAGGGTGGAGGAGTGGGGGGAGGAGGGTTGGAAGGGTGGAAGGGGGAGGGATGAAGGGTGGAGGAGTGGGGGGGAGAGGGATGGAAGGGGTGGAGGAGGGGGGAGGGTTGGAAGAGTGGAAGGGGGAGGAGGTTAGGTTAGGTTAATAAACAATCACAACACCTTGATTATACTACAGAGATTCCATTCAGATCTGTCAGAGCGTCACAGGCAGGTTGTGGGGTTTACCTGGGTTGAAGATTCATGTATTAAACCTTCCCAATAGCTGGAGATCAATAAACCATAAACACAGGAGAGTTATAAACCTATATAAAACAAGGCTTAACTCTACTTCTTATCTCTACAAATGAGAATCTTTACTAGGTAGAGTCCGCTGCTGAAAGTAACAAAAATAGAAAACTGTATTGGTTAGGAAAATGTAATCTCGTCAATCAGAGAAGAACAATAGATAATAAATAATATACAGCAATGAATTATCTTCCTAATTCTCATTGTTACACACACACACACACACACACACACACACACACACTGAATGAATGGAGAGCATCAACAGGATATAACCCATTTTTACTTGTAGTTCAGGGTTATATTGTAGTGTCTTAGGGCTAAAGTTTACTTGTAGTTCAGGGTTATATTATAGTATATAACCCTGAAATAAAAGTAACTACATTAACCCTGTGTGTGTCTGAGGGATCATGTTTACTAGTGGGGAGGAAAATATGTATTAAAAAGGCGAAGATGAGTCAAGGTCGTGAGGCTTCTTGAATCACCATTAAAAAAACCCGAAGATGCGATCAATAATATTCTCTCACGTTCCGAGTGGCCATAAGACTAAGCCGTGGAGGATACACAGTGAAGGGTTGAGGTGGTGGTGTAGCCAAGGTTGGTGAGGAGAAGGATGTAGCCACCGAACTCTATAATCTACTGTAATTATACCGACTTGGGATAATTCTAGTGTTCCTTTACAGAGGACCAGGTGGAGCAGGTAACCCAAAGGTGATTTTCTTGAATTGTAAAGTTTAGGTCTTGGAAAAAATAAACTGTAGTGGTTTAATTGGGTTTATTTTATCTATATGATTTTTTTTTTAAGTTTTCGTGACACTTAAATGGAGTTGTACATCTTTTTCTCCCTCCGTAATAATAATTGTTACCTCGTGGACAATCTATCATCATTGACGATGTAACGTAGAGTAGGAAAAAAAACCATCCCGTGTGAACAGTAAATACATTCCCAGACCTTTCCCGCCGGTCACCTCCACACACGACTCTGTCTTTCATCACCTGAGTACCATCCAAACTTCTCCCGGGGGGCCTTTCTCTCCTGTAGATACAAGGTCACCGCTCTCCCTTCCCCTTCTACACCTCCTCCCCTTCCCCCTTGTACCTCCCTATGCATTTACGCAACAAACACGGACGTTGTTAAGATACATAAGATAATAAGAACAAGGGGGGAATCTTGACCATATGGCAACAGTGAGAGGGAAGATGAGAGGGAAGATGAGAGGGAAGATGTGTTGGTTTATGGTTCTCGACCTTGAAAACCGGGACTCGGGGCAAGATAGTGTTATAAGATGAAATATAGTAAACATGTTCTTATGTTAATGAAAGTGAAAGGGGATCCCATAGGCTTGGTAGACAGTTTACGGACAATCTGGATACAACACAGTATACATACAGAGGTGACGCGGCCAGCACTACACATGACTGTCTTCAATTCACCAACTGTAAATGTAGGTGTCACTAAATTGACTGAAAGCTACTCAGGAATCAAACGAATGACTTTTAGGTTCAATGTCCACTCGGCCACCGCACTCTTACCTGTAATGATCTTTAATATTAGTCTATACTTAACATCTCAGGTAATAAGGTAATACTGTACCTGGTCGTGTAACATATATTGCTTCCTAACAGACAAATATATACCACAGCGTCAAACTTTACTCTTTCAACCTAACCTAACCTAACCTCACCTAACCTAACCTCACCTAACTTAACCTGAAATTTGTTACAAAATAACTGTACTTA